ATCCGCCACAGGACAGACGACACGAATTCATTAAGAAGCAAGTAGAATTTCATCGTTAATGCATACGGAATTCTAAGAGACATCGTTATTGAATGTCATTGAATGAATAATATCTAATTTGTACAGGAAGAGAATCGAGTATATTTTATAGAAAAATATTTCAGCTGCGCGCAAGACGTTATTTATGACGCCTTTAAGTATCTATAATAACGAACGATATGCGATGTAAAATATTGGAATAGCCATTCAACTGTTACGGCAACACACATGAAGTATGCTCACCAAAACGATCATGCACGCGTTCACGAGGAAAAAATAAAGCTCATATCGAAAAGAAGAGAAAAAGAGATCCAATATGTATGAAGAGAGCACTCGAACCATAGAAAGAGCACTATATATTAATATAATATCGTACAAACATTTTATGCAATAATGATTGCCAGTCCCGATTGCCATAACGTCAAATAGAAAGGATTAAAAAGTAAAAAGATGCACTCTTCGTGCAGAAGAGATGATTGATAATACTTCAAGCAGCAATAGCACATAATTCTACATAATAATGCATCAGTATACAAAATCTCGTAGGTTATTATTAAAATTATCAGCAAATCTGAACATATCTCATAAAATGTAAATTCTTTACGTGTAAATTAGAAGTTAGAAGCGTACAGAAAAGCAAAAAAAAAAAAATAACGAGTGCAAATTGCATGTATCGAACGTGTGATCTTTCGACTTTCGCGAAGTTAATCAAGTTCAATTAATTGGATCCAGGTAATTGAAGATCGTTTGAGATTAAGATCAAGAAGTTTGTACGGCATTTAACATGTTAAGGAAGTTGTTGTACTGTTTCGTGTGAAACGCAGCTTTTACCAAGCGGCCAATTCGCGGTCACCAATTTCTCACCGGACCTTCTCTCTATCTTTCTCTCTCTCTCTCTCTCTCTCTCTCTCTCTCTCTCTCTCTCTCTCTCTCTCTTTATCTCTCTCTTGCATGCGATATTTATCCCACAAGGATGCACGGTGACGCGTGCAATTTCCGATGGAAGCGAGAACTCGCCGCCAACGTGATTTAAAGGTTAAGCCGAGGTTGGCCGCGCACGCGGTCGGCCAATCGACCGTAAGGGCTCCGTGGTTAAACTTAAATCAGACCTGCATTTAAGCCGGCCTCGATCGAGCGCTTGTTACATTCAATTCTCGCCCGTGCATCTGGAGGGCCGATTAGGACACTCAGTGTCCAACAACAGTTTCAGTTCTGTCTAGCTATATTTGTCAACGACGAATGAATTATCGGAATGACGTTGGGAATATATAAAAGTATCTTGATATCGATAAGAATCTGATTGTAATAAAAACAAATAGCATATTATATCAAGTATTATATCAAATTTACAAAAATTATTGATGTTTGTATAATGTCTATTACTATCAGTGTAGATGCTTTAATTTTGGTTTAATTTATTCTTGTTTTTAATTCTTAAAACTAGAGAAAGGTAAAAAATAAATTAAATCGAGATTAAAGTTAATTCACATTGATAGAAATGGACATAGAGATAATAATGCTAAGTGTAATAATCAGTGCTGGGAAAAATTGAAATAAAATCATAGAAATATTTATTTAAAGGATGAATCTGTAAAATACTATTTGATATACAAAAATACTATTTGAAATAAGTATTTTGCGTAAATATATAAAAATGACAAATAATATTTAATATTTACATTAACATTTATTTGAAACAAAATATTTATTTGACATTTTGCTACTTCATGGTTAAATAAATTCTTTTATTTTCTATTTTTTATTTACTATTTTCTATTTCTTAACAATACAAAATAGAAAATAATATATTAATAAAATAAAAACAGAATGTTGTGCTCAGAATGTTGGATACACCTCGATAAATGATTCAGAATCCGCGGAAATTGCACTCATATTATTTTCTTAATATTTTTATGTTACAAACAGCTAGATAACCAATGATAAGTAAATTTATTTTAAAATATATTCGTAGAGAAACCAATTACATCTATATTTCTATGAAGTATGTGTTATTTTTTATTTTGTTTTTGTTTATTATTTTCCGTTTTATAAGTATATTTGTTAGAAAAATAGAAAATAGAAGAAGTTATACAACCATGAAATTTCGAAATGTCAAATAAATATTTCAAGTAAATGTAAATAATAAATACTATTTGTCTTTTTTATAATTAACAAAATACTTTAATAGTACTTTTAAAGACACGTATCCTTTAAATAAATATTTCTATTAAATCTATTTCAATTTTTTCTTTGCACCAAAAATATGTATTTACTATCTTCTATTTCAATTATTTTTCCCAGGTAATATTATATTTCGCTACACACAGACAAATATCATTATATTTTTCTGTGCATATTAGCGAAATATAATATTCTTATTATTAAGAAAAGTGATTACTCAGTTTACTTTTTTTCTTTTAAGTAACAATTATCTTTAACAAAAATTATTTCCTTAATAACAGTTTTAAAATTTATTTATTACATATTAAAAAAAAATCTCATTATCATGCACTTAAAACAAGAATTTATGTTTTAAAAAATATTATAAAATTTTTTAAAAAATAACTTTATATGATAAGCAAATCGAATTTGTTTTAATTTAATAATCTTGATTAAAGTATTAAATATTACTATAATCGATTCAATATATTTTGAATAAATTTGATGCTTATGATAAATTTATAATAAATTTATGGATGTGTGAAGTTTTGAAATACTTAAAACAACAGTAGATATTTAATATTTGATTGCAGTATGTATTTTTCTATGTATACAGTTAGATTTGAAAAATCTGCAGCTATGCTACATTGTTAATAATTTCATTCAATGTAGTGTGTATTGCAACTATATATATTATATACAGAATGTATTAAAAAAACCAACTGAGTGTTTCAAATCATGAATTCTATATTTTAAATTCCAGATTTTTTTTTAGATTTTTAACATTCTATATTCTATTCTAAATAATTATATATCAATTAAGTAAGAAAAACCTCAACTACGTCAAAGTTAGATATAACTGAAATAATAACTATAAATCACACATATATATGTGTCGCTTGGTAACGCGGCAAGTATGTAGATAAGAGGATGCTATCGTTTTATTGAGGTACATATTTCGACGAGATTTCAATTCTATCTTGGTCGTGCATTACCTTATTTCTTATATATTTTTCAGCGATATAAAATGCAAATTTAGGCTTAGAAAGTTAATAAAAGAAATATCGAATGCGACACTTACAATACTCTTCCATTTACGCGATTAAATGCTCCGTAGACTATCGGCCAAATTCGAATGCACATAAATTATGGTTAACGCAAGAAAGCCATGTCGGTCTCAGACACATAATGTAGAGGAGAAAACAATTCCTCGAGAAGAGTTTCTCCTTCGGATGCGATTAGCCGGTTACGCCCTTTTGATAGGAAAACAAAGCCTTCTTCGAAAGAGTTCTTCCCTCATTTTCCACGAGTTACAGCGAGCACACAGGTATGGTCAGAACATACAAATGACAATTGACGATTGTAGACTCTTCATAATTTTAACGATCACGTGAATGCATTAATCAATGGCTAATAATCGATGCAAAGTAACAGCCAATCGTGTTGCTATGCAATGACAATATCAATAGCAACCTAATATAAAGGATGAGCACGTTTCCGATGTTCTTGACATTATTTAAAGAATATTTTTATGCACGATCGAATCAGGTGGTTGAAAAAAAGAAACTTTAAAACTTTATTTTAAGATAACTGCTCGATTAAACATTTGTTAATTAAATATTTTCAAATAAAACGTAAAGTAACCATCTTCAATTTTTTCGGAATAGTTTTTGTACATCTTTACATTACGTGCCTTTTGGGTTCTTTCCACCACGGTCTCGGTAATTATCGCCTTTAATGGAGGTTTCTTTTTAAGACAGCTGCTGATGTAAAAAGCTGTTAACTAAATATTTTACTTTGCGCAAAGTAATCATTTTCAATTTTCTCGAAATAGTCTTCTTCTCTTCTCTTTTTTGCTTCTTTTTTTCCACCACTTTCGATAATTATCACGTTTAATGGAAGTTTCTTTATCGAGGGACAGTTAATAATGACATCTGCCAAACGGATAACAATATCAAGGACAACTCATGTCTATTTCTACCACTGCAAATTAAATTTAACCTTGGTTTAATTTACTCTTCATCCTTTTTCTAATTTTTAGAACTAGAGAAAAATAGAGAGTCAATTAAATCAAGATGAAAATAAAACTAGCGAAAACATCTCAAGATGTTTTGTACGAATGTCCGTTCAAGGTATTAAAAAAATCTCATTACCTTATCACGAAACCAATCACATTTATTCGTTATCATTTGCAAGTGTGGTAATAACGTGATAGTAACAACGATCAATGTCAGGAACGTCCCCCATCGCGTATAAATGTAACGCCCCCATGACGCTGTCTCTCTCTCTCTCTCTCTCTCTCCCCCCCTCTCTCTCCTCCTTTCTCTCTCTTGTTCGCGATCGAAAACAACAGATCCGACGTCACCTAATGGAGAGAGTACCACCGATTTACTGTACTCCGCCTTCGCATCGCTCGTCCGAGGGTCGACAATTCATCGAGAATTGAACAGTTCCGGCGAGCACGAAGGACGAAATCCAGAGACTCGTTCGGACCTCGTGCCGAGCGAGGGGTCAATGACGTATTTATGTTTGTTTATTATGATGATGATTCTTCCGGGAAGCTGGAGTCGTTGGAAAACCGGCGCTCCTCCTTGCGCGATCGCGACATTCGCGACAACGATAAAGAACGAGTACCTTCGCACCAGCCGCGAAATCAAAACACAAACACAATAAAATTATTATCAGTTATATACTCACCGTTCCTCGCGTTGTCCACTGCTCCTCTTCCACCGCGTGTCTCCTCCGTCTCTTCGCCGCGGTCGTGCCACCCCTCGGATAATCCACGGCGACGCTGGACGCGTACGAGGCCCAGGACTCCGAGAATGTCGAGTGTAGGGTGGGCTAGTGATTGTCCGTCGTCGTACGGCGCATCTCTACCGCGAGCACGAAACCGACGGTCACACGGCGCATCGCGCGCGCACGCCGCTCGACGCGATGCACCCACGGAACGCGAACTGACAGCTATCGCGCGCCGTTCATTATCGGAGGGGAAGAGAGAAGAGAACCACCTTCACCTGCGCTCGCGCCGCTCACGACTGCTTCGCTTCTCCGCTACTCTGCTCTTGCTCTTGCTAGTTGCTCTTGCGCGCGACCGGCCGGCAACCAACGGCGAACGGCCACCAACGGCGCCGATATACACTATACAAGTATACACCGCACACCGCACGCTGCCCTCCCACAAACCGATCCGCTCTTCGTTGCTCTTCGTCACCGTCACCACCTTCGCGAGGCACCGCCAATAGTGTCAGCACTGCCTCGCGTTCGATCAATCGATGTATCGCTACTCGCTATTGCGATTCTCGTTTGCAACTCCGCCAAACGTTTCACCATATGATTAGGCGCGCCGAAGTCTGAAAATACAATTTCTTTTCTTGATTGAGAAATAAAAAAAAATGAAATGAAGGCGAATAGCTATTGCTTTATTATTATTACGACTTAGATGTTATAAAATATTTCATTTTATTATTTGTCTCGGGAAAATATGTGTTATATTTAAATGAGAATTCATTTCCTTTGAAGTAACTTTTGATAAAATATAGAGAACACTTTGTCGTTATTGGATAATTTTACGAATCTAATTAATTGTTGAAAATATTTATTGAGTGATAAATTGAAACTTTTTCAATGAAAAGAACTGATGCACAATGAAAATAATTGTATATGAAAAAAATATCAAAATCGGATGTAATTATTATGGTGATCAGCCTAGATCACCTTTTGTTTTAAAATATATATGTACGTTTTCTAAAGAAACTTGTGAATATTGATTTTTTAAATTTAGAGGTAAGTTGCCTGACGGAAAATTTCTAATGGCGGTTTTATATTGATTTATAAAATTTAGAGTAAATTTCTAATGAATCTAACCGATCAATAACAGATTTTACTGGATCTCCTGTCGCATTTCATGTCGCGTGATTCGGACGGCAATGAAAGCGAGAAATGAACAAAGTGTAGGCTGTAGATTAGATCACTAGACGATAGAACTGTCTTCGTCAACGATGAAACCACGAATGGAGTGACGCAAATCGTCAAATCCGAGATGCGTCAACTCACTAGACACTTACACACTCACGAAAATTATTTATCCTTGTTCAACATTCGACAAACAAGGATGAAATGATTCCATAATCGGTCGCGGGCGTAAAGTCAGTTCTACATTAGTTGCAAGCCGATCGCAAGTTTGTTGCGACAGCCAATATGAAGTGTTGATTTCAAAATCACAAGCTTCAGATTGGCTGTCGCAACAAACTTGCGATCAGCTTGCAACTAATATAGAACCGACTTTCGATGGCGAGGCGCGAGTGATTCACCCACGAACAACGAACGCGACGGACGTGATCTAGAGAGTGACTATTCCGTGGGGAAAACGGGCGATCTCTCGCGCGGAGCGGAGCGCGGAGCGGAGGTTGGCTGAATTCTCTCACGGAGCGGAGTGTATTTTCGTTTATCGAGTAGACACGGCCGACACGGTGCATACACGTTTCTCCTTGGTCGCAGCGCCCTGGATTACCACCGAACGTCCAACGGGTGATGAAAAGCTCGCGCCGCAGTTAAAAAGGCCGCGTCAAGCTCCACGTGAGTGACTCGCCCGCGCAAGGTGCACGTTCACCCCGCTGTACTTTAGGGGGGAAAAAAAATACAGTTCCTCGCCAGAAATACGAGATCATGGCGGTGCCCAACAGCGGTGTAGGTAAGTTATTTTATTTGAACGGCCCGTAAACAACCGAATAGATTCTCCTTCTCGTTTCTCTCCCTTTTAATCGGATAATGAGATCCCCGAAGTGGGACGATGCGACGATCGTCGTACCCGTAGCACTCTCGTATACGCGAATTGACAGAGGATGGCGAGGATACCGCGAGTCGCCCGTATTTCTCATGTAACGAGTCATCGAGACGGTTGACTCGATAGTACATCCGTCGCGAGTTGGTGTTATCCTTCTGCGGTATCGCGGACTCTTCTCGGAACCCCCGATGACTGGAAAAATTGCAAAAAGGTTAATCCAGGTTAACCATGCTCAAATCCTATCCTCGTGCCCATAACCTGTATCGGCGCGAATATCGCGCGGGTACAGTACATTTCAGCTGTTATGATTGTATTATAATTACCATGTTAATAAATACAATTATATGTCGCGACAAATCTTGTCTTTTGAAATAGATTTGCGAACTTTAAGGTTATTTATTTAGAAACTATATTTAATAAATTATGATGATATAAGATTTAGACACTTATCAGATTATACACTTGACTACAAGTATAAAGCAAACTGAAAAATTGAACGTATACATTTTATATCTAACGAAAAATAAGTTAAAGTTGTTATGTTGAGAAATAATAACTGTCATACCTTCCCGGTATACAATATTTATTTGTATGATAATTTTAATATATTATTTTCCTTTGATTTTATTATTGCTAGTATTCTTTTGAAGGAATAATTTGAGGATATTTTATATTTATGATCAAGTATGTTATTCCACACAATACTTCTCCGAGGGATATTCTGGGGAAATGTCTTCAGAATGTAAGAAGTTATAAGAAAGATCTCTGTGATTAAGATGTTTCTCGGAGATTGTATTATGTAGAATTCAAGGATTTCAGAGATTCTCCTTATAATTTCTTAATCTCTAACTTATAAACCAAATATATGTGAGATGAGGCTCAAGATCAAATCTAATTTTGCCATACATTACCCTTCAAATCCTGTTTCAGTTATGCCCCGAAACTTTCGACTTCTAGAGGAGCTGGAACAGGGCCAGAAAGGTGTGGGTGATGGCACGATCAGTTGGGGCCTGGAAAACGATGATGACATGACCCTCACGCATTGGACTGGTATGATAATTGGACCACCTAGGGTAAGATACCTTTTATTAGTAGTTTGTCATTGTTGCGCTAACACGAATCTATATCATCTTTTTATGTTACTTTTTATAGAATATAAATTTATAATTTGCTTTCAAGAAAATTTAAATTAAAAATCTAATCATCAAACTAATCTATATTGCGATACTTATGTTAAATATATGCATTTTTGACTTTTCGCACATTAACATCAAATAAAATTTCTGTGACGCTTAAATGAATAATTATTAAAATCAATTTTTATAAATACTTTGAGTATTAATAACAATTATATATATTATATTGTTAGAATATTCATATATCGGAACAAAAATATGACTAGGAATTAATTGCACTAAATGTGATACTACAAAAATGTTAAAGTTTAATTTTTTGAAATATTTGGTTGATATGTAATTAAAATGTTATATCTTTTAGACACCATATGAAAATAGGATGTATAGTTTGAAAATTGATTGTGGTCAAAGATATCCAGATGATGCCCCTAATGTAAGATTTTTAAGCAGAATCAATATGAATTGTATTAACAGTGCCACTGGAGCTGTAAGTATACAAAATTACAGTATATATTTATATTAAGATAAAGAATATATGTATTTAATATAACATGAAATTTTCATACAAGGTGGATAATCGCAGCGTTCCAGTCCTTTCAAAATGGCAACGAGAGTACACAATTAAAACAGTTCTTCAGGAACTCCGTCGTTTGATGACGTTGAAGGAAAATATGAAACTTTCTCAGCCTCCGGAAGGCAGCACTTTTTAGCCTAACCGTATGAACAGAGATATCTTCCTTTTTGCAATAGCATGAGGCGAGATTTAATAAAGGTACCAAATAATATTAAAAGGGTGCCCGCTGAAAATATATGTTAAAAAAGAAATAAAAAAAAACATGAAAAAAATAGCTTTGTGAAAGAAAGGAGGTAATAGCTTGGAAAGTTGAATGAGTGTATCGAGTTCATGTATAGATTAGATAGAAAAAAATGACAAAAACGCATTTGTCAAGCACAGCTGGTTCTTTGTCGGAATTTTTCACTAAAAGTAGTATTTTCCTGGAATCCCGATTTCATTGCATATAATTACATCATATTCGCGCACGAGATAATCCCATACGGATGCGAATTGATTTAAGAAAACTTTGCTCCAGCTTTTCAAGCTAGTACAATGTAAAGCGGAAAAAATCCATATTTTGAATCTTAAAAAACTGGAGACACAGTCTATGTAATAAAAATGAATAATCAGTAAGAATAACTTATGCCTTTAAAGTTTTTTAATGAGAGAAGAAGAGTAACGTCTGGTATTGCCCTTATAAGATTTCTCTTCTGTTTGCGCGCAAGTGCCATTTCATCTCTTGCAGAGGTGTCTCTCTCTCACTCAATGGTGCGGTAGAAAATTGTGAATTTTGGACCATCGTAAATCTGTATGTCTATTTTACTTTTCCGTGCTGCATATACTGTTTAAACTAGCGATTTACAAATAACGTACATGTCTGAGAAATTATGTCCTTAAAAAACGGCCTCTCTCTCTTTCACGCTAACGAATTGCGTTTCGTAATTGATGAGGAGACGTCGCTTTGTAATCGAAGCATGCATAAATTTGATTTGTAATATCTCGTATATAGCGAACAATATATACAATGCTGCATGGTAAAGTACATCAATGTATGAAGCATCGTGTGAATGATGAGATCTTTTAGTCGATATCATATTTAGATATATTGAAAGTATACTACTTACCAATGTGTATTTGATTGTTAAAATGCAACAGGATTATAAAGTATGCAGATAAATAATGCTTACTGTTTGACCCAAAGCTTCATGATTGATGTATTATGTGAATATTAATTTTGTTATAATTCTCCGAATCATATCTAATTCCTAACATTACTTTGTAAAGTACAGGAGTTGTATTATAACAAAATCATCATTTATTTTAATCTTTAGTGCAATCACAACTATAAATTCATGGATATTGTTGCTGAAAATCGAATTATATGCAGTCTATTAATGATTGATGATGTTTAAGTAAATATGTTCCAGGAAGAAAATAATTGTTATTACAATGTCATCTCAAGATTTATATTATTCAATTAATCGAAAGGATGTTTTATATCTAAAGTTTCACCAAAGTAGATTTTGAAATATCTCCACGTTTAATTGTATAAATATTTTCTAATTACCCGAACGAAAATTATACATACCTTTTTATCCGCTTTGCATTTCAGTATTACACTATCGATAATATAATAGTGTAATTTATAAATCATCCTATTAAATAATAACAAGTTATAGCTCCATATGGACGAAAACAAGCTTAAGGAGAATAAAGTGATTTCCTTAGAAATAAGCGTTTCCTATGTTTCTTATCCATATGTTAGCGACTTTTTTTTAACTTTTGAATAAATCGTTGCTTTATTGAAATTAAATGACTTCGTAACATATTCAGATTTTTGCAGATATTTTATCCTTAATCTTTAAAAATGAGTTGGATGAAAACTTTTAATAGAAATAATTTGTAAAAAATATTGCATAATAAAAACTAAAAACTTACCAATAATAAATAAGAATGATATATTCAGTTAGTTAAAATATCCTTTAATCTTGTAGACTTAAATATGTCCATAAATACTCTATCATTTTGTGAGTTACTTAAGATTATAAATAAATCATGTGTCTCATCAAGGGAGTGGACATTACTTATGTTTAACAATTTATTTAAATCAGACGATGACTCCATTTGGTATAACTATGTACAATGTTTAATTTAATAGATTTTGGTAGTGATGATAAATTGACAGTTCGTCAAATATATGAATAAGTTTAAATCTTGAGAGAGGAGCCACAACTTGCCGGATACATTGTTTAAATTGCGAAACTACATTCTGATACCAGCACAAAAGCTAATATCACGGCGTCAATTTCCAAGTGGCTAACGATATTTTTTGGGTACAAACATTAGTTTTGTATTCTTTATAGTCGACCACTTTTGTCGCTTAAAGTAGTAGGCAGTAACGATGAGAATTGCAAATATTCCAAGAACCTATAAATAATCAACATTAAAATAATTAAAATAAAAATGATAAAGTAAAATAAAATTCGCAGTGATATTCAGTTCACCTTAATAGTCATTTGTTTTCGTTCATCAAATTCATGATTGGCAGTCCACATTAGGAATGTGGTAATATCTTTTGCTACTTGAGAAGCAGTTGCTGGAGTACCATCTTCATATTCTAAGACTTCGTTATAAATAGCCTGTACGAAGGAATAGAATTGATTTATTATTTTCATTATTATTAATGGATGTACCAAATTCAGTCTAATTGTATCAGCATTAATATAAAAAAATGTGAATGACTCACCTGTGCCATACCAATGGCACCACCTGGAAAATATGGATTGAAATATTGTCCTTCCCTTAAAGTTATACCAGCTGGTGCATCACAATATCCGGTTAGCAAAGAGAAAATGTAGTTCTGAAATGTATATAAAATATATTTTTAATTAAATTGTGATATTAATAGAAGTATTTTTATTAAAAATTTCAATGGAAATCGATTAAAACTTTAATTTCTTGAGTGCATAAATTCTATATATTATTAAAAATTTACTTGCCTCTCCATTGTGCCTGGCATTTATCATATAAGATAAATCAGGTGGATAAGCACCATTATTCGATGCTCTGGCAGCTTCTTCATTCGGATATGGAGATGGCACGTAATCATACAATTTTCCTGGACGTTTATAATATTCTCCTACTTCGTTAGGACCATCTTCTACCTGTGTATCACATAGAAGTTTGTTACTATATTAAATCTTGTATTTTACACAATTATAAACATACGAAATATTTCTCATGGTAATATTATAAAAGATGATACCATGACTTCTTCCGCGAGAGCTTTGGCTTCTGCTTCGGTATGAGTAACATCAACAAGGTGACGGTATGCCACATATTGCAAACTGTGACAAGCTGCACACACATTCTTATAGACCTCCCATCCTCGTCGCATGCTACAAAATTAGATTAATAACAACAGTAACACATATGCATAATTCATTGTTTCATTCATTTTAGTATTTAAAAATTATACCTAGCATGATCTAATGAATTGAACCATCCATAAAAATCCCATTTATACGTTGGAGGATGAGCTATCAATTCACCAGCTCTTACCGAGCTATCTAAAGCATAGATGAAGGCACTGATGCCTCCAGCAGTTACTCCTAAGCATGTTAATAACTGTAATTAAAAATGTTACAAATAGATTTCGTCATTTTTTTAAATATAATTTGTATAATATTGTCACATATTATATAACATTGTTGTATATTGAAAATATACAACTGTAAAACTGTAGTCTGTCCTAACTTACTAACACATGCAGTTTGAGAGGACGCAAAAGTCTAATATTAAAGGGATTGGATATGATGGAGATATCTCTTCGTCCAAGCTAAATTAAATTCACATACCATTTTCCGACTCCTAGGCCATTCTTTTATAGTGGAAAAATTACTGGTCTGCAAAAATAAAATTTAAAGTTTAACAAAATAAAAAATTTAACATATTCCACAATGGGAAGAAAACTATTTGCAATGTTACTTTACAGGTATCTTTCATATTTCTATTTTCTTCCTTCTTTTACATATAATTAATTTGGTATTTTAAAAATTTAAACATACATCTCTTTTAATTATTTAAAAAATTATTTAAAATATATATATATATATTTTTCTTATTTATATACCATTTAAAATAATTGTTATAAAATATTCACAAGAGATATATCTTTGGTATATCAAATACAAATCGAACAATGTCTATCTAATAGTTATTTAAATAAAAGATTAATATATATGTTTTTAGATTAATATATATTCTTATAAATCTTAATATGATATAATTAAGTAAAAAAGAATATATTTAACGAATTGTTGAACATAAGTACATTCTTTAATCAATTTAATACTGACAATTAGTGACAATTGACAGTATAATTGTCTACAATTAGGCGATAAAATTCATGCATACAAATTTGTTGACAGCGCTCGCGAACAATATATAGTTACTTGTACCACTGGCCACGAATAATGCATTGGTAACGCATGTTTGATATCATGGCAGCAATCCGGATTTTCTCGCTCACTATTACATAACATCTGTTGAAGTGCCGTCGAAATCATTATCGCGTGTCTTCAGGCCCTTCGCCGGCGTCCCGACGTGCGAGAACGTTCCGCGGGGAATAATATCGCCGAAAAAGGAGTGACATTAGCAGCCGACAGTTCTGTGTTCTCAACGCGAGGCCGTGGGTCAATATTGGTTAACATCAAGTATGTTGACATGAACGATATGCTGCGATGCTGCGAGGATTTTCGCAAGGAAACGTATGTAGTTATTTAGAAGCGTCGGAAATTCGCGTTTACTTACCTGGCCGATCAACGTGCCATAATTCGGTTTTAGAAGACCAGATTTACAAATTCGACCTAACGTCGCCGCCATGTTGGACATAGGTGTAATATGTGAAGGGTTATACTAGTCAGTGTACGGTCCGCTGGACGTTGATGGATAACTGACGAAGAATTAGTCTTGTGACTGTTGCAAAAATCCTTCCGTGATTATTCCGACTTTTCGGAACGGTCGCGAGGACCTGAGAGAGAGGTTAAAATATCAGTGGAGAGAACACCGCGAAAACGACTTCGGTCGGCGCCGTCGGTGGACCTGCGCAGGCTCGCCAACATTGCGACATGAACGACCACACATTTAAACTTGAATAGGCACGATCTGTAATCTGCGTTTATAATATACGGAATTTTTAATATTTATGTATTTAATATTTATTTAATATTTTTATGTATTTAAATTCACATGTATGTCATATTTTGATTATATTTATTATTACACTACACTAAATTAGTGTACATTTAAAAAAGGGCTATTTTATATGTAAAGTATATCTATAATTATCAAGTTTAATAATGAAATCATATATGTATATTTTTATAAATAATATCATTATTGAATATTTAATTGTTTAAAATATTTCGATTTAACTTACCTACTATTTATTTTTTCTATTTCTTGACTTTTATGCTCGAATTTATTGGTGCTAGAATTGGTAATACTATACAGACATATACTAATATTAACTGATATTTATATCGTTGAGAGAGTATTAAAAAATAATTTTACAAGAGTTAATTTAACTCCAATATGGATCTGAACCGTTTATAAAGTCATATATTAATTTTACATTTTTAATTTATTACCCAAATGTGTTTTGTGTAAATATTACATGGCGCAATGGTATTGCATATTTCTCATTCATATAAAACCATTTAATTTTCAATCATTAGTCAATAATACTCATAATATGTAATTTGTAGGAACATATCATATATTACATATTATACATGGATAATAATAAATTATAAAGATTTATTAATGCCCGTTTATATAGTCATGCTTTGTATTTAAGGCTTCCTTAAATTTATCTTTAGATGCTCAGTAGCCAATAAAATAATTCGCAGAATATCTGAAGATCAATTTAAGGAAGCCTTAAATAAATGTAAGATCTGACTATACGAATACGAACATAAGGCCATGTGCATAATAGAAGAAATAAGGAATTAGGAATAAGAATAAACGATTTCAATCTATCAGAAATCATGTATTCCGATATATACTGAATTCTGATTAAAATCGTTAATTTTTTATTCCTAATTCCTTATTCCTTCTATTGTGCACAGAGCCTAATGCCTGTATTCATAGTCAGACCTTGTACTTAAGGCTTTCTTAAATTTATTTTTGATAAATTAAATTTATCAAAATTTTGAATTGAACAGTATTCACAATTGTGTTGTTGTGCAAGAAAAAGCTAATGTTATTTTTAGATTGAAAGGCATAGAGATATGCTCCATGCAATTCCTATAAATGAGTAAAAATGCATTCAAGATTGAAAAGCATCTATTTTAACATTCGTGAATCAATATTTCTGAAAATCTGAATCCATTTCAATTCATTTCAATTCATTCTCGTTTGCTGGGGAAGTCTTAAGTACAAGGTCTCCTTGCTGCTTATTCCTTTCATTGTACCCGAGTTCTTATTCCATTGCAGGCTAATCGGATGATTGAAACAGTTGCTAATGTCAGTAATTATCAATAATTATTCCTGGGCCCGATACTGTCATTAAGAGTTACATAATAGGGGCCTGATATCTTTGGATATATCTCATTTATCAAATACAAATTTTTCAAACATATCGATTAGTTAAAAATGAAAAAAGTTCACCAATCTCCGCCTTGAATAATAAATTCTCTGCCTTGTAGTCTATCAATACCCTTAACAAA